CTCCTTTCCATTATTCCTTCACCCCCTTGTACCACAACCCTCCCCCAGGTATCCACCACCTCCCTAAAAAATTTTGGGAACTCCTCCCCGATTTTTGGGGATCCCCCAGATTTTGGGGACCCCCCCATGATTTCGGGGACCCCCTCACCCCGAATCTCGAGCCGACACTCGGTCAGGGCCTCGCCCAGCTCGTTGACAGCCCTGCAGGTGTAGGTGCCGCCGTCGAAGGGTCCCGGCTTGCGGATCAGCAGCGTCAGGACCCCCTGGCTGTGCCTGGCCAGGAATTTGGGGTCCTCCCCGATGGCCACCTGGTTCTTCAGCCACACCACCTTGGGCTGCGAGGGACACACCTGGCCAGGTGAGGCCCCAACGCACCCCAAAAATATCCCAAGGTACCCCAAAAATGCCCCAAGGTACCCCAAAAACCACCCAAGGTACCCCAAAAACTCCCAGACCTGAGGGTGGGTTCACAGCCCCACAGGGACACCCCAAAATCCCTTCCTCAGGTGAACCCCACACCTGGATCTTCAGGCTGGGAGGGGCACACCTGGGCAGGTGAGGCCCAAACGTACCCCAAAAACCACCCAAGGTACCCCAAAAACCACCCAAGGCACCCCAAAAACTCCCAGACCTGGGGATGGGTTCACAGCCTCATTATGACACCCCAAAATCCCTTCCTCAGGTGAACCCCACACCTGGATCTTCACACTTAAGAGGGGCACACCTGGCCAGGTGAGGACCGAATGCACCCCAAAAACCACCCAAGGCACCCCAAAAACTCCCAGACCTGGGGATGGGTTCACAGCCCCATGGGGACACCCCAAAATCCCTTCCTCAGGTGAACCCCACACCTGGTTCTTCAGCCACACCACCTTGGGCTGCGAGGGGCACACCTGGCCAGGTGAGGCCCAAACGCACCCCAAAAATATCCCAAGGTACCCCAAAAATATCCCAAGGCACCCCAAAAACTCTTAGATCTGGGGATGGGTTCACAGCCTCATTGGGACACCCCAAAATCCCTTCCTCAGGTGAACCCCACACCTGGTTCTTCAGCCACACCACCTTGGGCTGCGAGGGACACACCTGGGCAGGTGAGGCCCCAACGCACCCCAAAAATATCCCAAGGTACCCCAAAAATATCCCAAGGTACCCCAAAAATACACCAAGGCACCCCAAAAACTCTTAGATCTGGGGATGGGTTCACAGCCCCACGGGGACACCCCAAAATCCCTTCCTCAGGTGAACCCCACACCTGGATCTTCACACTGGGAGGGGCACACCTGGCCAGGTGAGGCCCCAACGCACCCCAAAAACCACCCAAGGCACCCCAAAAACTCCCAGACCTGGGGATGGGTTCACAGCCCCACGGGGACACCCCGAAATCCCTTCCTCAGGTGAACCCCACACCTGGATCTTCACACTTAAGAGGGGCACACCTGGCCAGGTGAGGCCCAAACGCACCCCAAAAATATCCCAAGGCACCCCAAAAATACACCAAGGTACCCCAAAAACCACCCAAGGTACCCCAAAAACTCCCAGACCTGAGGGATGGGTTCACAGCCCCACAGGGAGACCCCAAAATCCCTTCCTCAGGTGAACCCCATACCTGGATCTTCACACTGGGAGGGGCACACCTGGGCAGGTGAGGCCCAAACGCACCCCAAAAACCACCCAAGGTACCCCAAAAATGCCCCAAGGTACCCCAAAAACCATCCAAGGTACCCCAAAAACTCCCAGACCTGAAGGTGGGTTCACAGCCCCACGGGGACACCCCAAAATCCCTTCCTCAGGTGAACCCCACACCTGGATCTTCACACTTAAGAGGGGCACACCTGGCCAGGTGAGGCCCAAACGCACCCCAAAAACCACCCAAGGCACCCCAAAAACCACCCAAGGTACCCCAAAAACCACCCAAGGTACCCCAAAAACTCTTAGATCTGGGGATGGGTTCACAGCCCCATGGGGACACCCCAAAATCCCTTCCTCAGGTGAACCCCACACCTGGATCTTCACACTGGGAGGGGCACACCTGGCCAGGTGAGGCCCAAATGCACCCCAAAAACCACCCAAGGCACCCCAAAAACCACCCAAGGTACCCCAAAAACTCCCAGACCTGGGGATGGGTTCACAGCCCCACGGGGACACCCCAAAATCCCTTCCTCAGGTGAACCCCACACCTGGATCTTCAGGCTGGGAGGGACACACCTGGCCAGGTGAGGACCGAATGCACCCCAAAAATATCCCAAGGTACCCCAAAAACCACCCAAGGTACCCCAAAAATGCCCCAAAACTCATCCAGGACCCCAAAGTCTCCACCCAGGACCCCAAATCTCCACCCAAAGCCCCCTAATTTTGGGGTGAGCGTGTTCAGGGGGACCCCAAAATCCCCTCAGGACCCCAAATCTTCATCCAAACCCCCCTAATTTTGGGGTGAACGTGCTCAGGGGGACCCCAAAACCTTCTCAGGACCCCCCAAATTGACCCCCATAATTATCCCCACCCATCCAGTTAAGAGCGGAGTGGTTAATTTTTGATTTTTAACCCCAAAACCCCCCCAGAACCCCCCCAAATCTCCACCTAGGACCCCCAAACCCCCCTAATTTCGGGG